AATATGAATAAATTATATTGAATGTGTATATGTGTTTTGCTGTTTCATGAATTGTTTTAATTCATATAATATAATTATATTGGTTATCTGTTTAAATCTGTTTATTTTCATGAAAAGCTTATAATATGTTAAATTGCGTGCAACATGCGTGTAACATGCAACGTGCACTCATTTCATGAGTAATGAATGTGTAATTAGTGTCTTGTCATCTCAGAGGCCTGTGAGCCTGTGTTTTGCCAGTTTCTCTGTTTAATATTAAACCCTATAAAGCCTGCAGTATTACATTTTAATACATGAATTTCTAAGGCCTCTAAATGATCAGCATGATGAAAATTTTGCTGGAAAAAAAAAACCTGTTTTACACAACTTACTACATGCCTTCTGCCCTCTGAATGACAGTTCATACCTTTTTTTAGTGTGTAAAAGGTTGAGGTGCATGTGTCTTTTTACAGTGAAGTCTTTAATGATTTTTTACAAATTAATTAAGCATTAGATTAAATTTTAACAACATTCACTGGACTAAAGCAACGTAGGTTTACTTGATTATAGCTACTACATTTTTAGAAAAATCATGTTAAAATGTTGGTATCAAATATGATATAGTCTTTTGAGAAACATTTGTTTGTACATCTTGCAGTCATCATTGTATTGCATTGCATTATGTTTTGCCCCACAATTAAAACTGCACATACTGTACATTGTACATATATACTCTGCTATGCTGTTATAAAGATTGTTTTACTTTACAAGAATTTAGAATTTCATCTTACTTGTAGGCCATATAAATAACAGGGAATGCACCAAATTGCATATTTTTGCTCAGTTTTTGGCATCAATAATATTGTTGTTATTGTTACTATTTTTAAACTTGCCTAAAAATAATTTGCCTAATAATAAATGGTTTAATAAACTGTTCCATCTCAAAGAAATTAGACTTTTACTTAATATGTCAGTCTTTACAGGGTTGGATAAATGATTAATTATAACAAATTATATTAATTATAATTTTGATTTGGCAGCAAAGAGCAAAAGAGTTGATATAGAATGATGTGGTTCGCTTTAGTAGGTAGAGGATAGAATATACTAGGTTAGTTAAGCTAGGTAAAGTCTTCATCTAATGCTTATTTGCATTTATTGTTTCTAACATTTCATTTGCAAAACCAGTTAAATAAAACATATCTATGGTCACCTGTAATCTTCTTACTGTGTTTTTATATAGTCGTTTTTGGTTTCTTGTTTTAGGGTGACATTTTTCTCCTTCCTCATTCCGGGTCTTGTCACTCGTGCAGTATGTCTGCCACAGAACGAAACATCTGTTCATTTGAAACTAGTCAAACACTTCTTCCTCTTCCCTTGTTATAAGGAAGTATGAGGTTAACTTGAAAATGTTATTAGTTACAGGCACAACTTCTGCCTTTTGCGTTGTCGCAAGTTAAGCCTGTTCAACAGGTTTCATACTTTCAAAAAGAGAAGAAATGGCAGGTTGCAAGTAAAATACTGTATGGAGGATTTATATAAATTTTATGTTTGTACATGTGTTTATGTGTGTTCAGGAGGAGGGCTGTTTGTAGCGTACACAGGGACTTCACCATTTTGTCTCCTCATCGTCCTCATGGAGCGACTCTACTGGGTTCGTCACAGATGTCTGCAGCTGATATCCACAGACAGGAGGAGGGGCTGGTACTCTCCTCCTTCATCACTTCCCCCTAAGAGTAGTCTGGATGCTCAGGACCCTCTGGTTCAGCGACTCAGTGGAAAGAGAAGAGTGGTGGTGTCACGATGTGGTCCACACCAAGCAGAGTTCCACAACTTCTCCAAGGGCTTTCAGGACAACAGCATCCGCACCACCAAGTACACACTCATCAGCTTCATACCCATGAATCTGTTCCAGCAGTTTCACAGGTCAGATATTGAGCTGACTATATCATGTATATTGTCTAAATTATTTGATGATGTGTTGGTGTTTAGATTTAGTTTTTTGTGTGTGTGTGTCACTGACACATTTGGTTTCTCGCAACAGAGCAGCAAATCTGTACTTCCTGTTTCTGGTGTTGCTGAATTGGGTCCCAGTAGTGGAAGCATTTCAGAAGGAGATTACTATGATCCCTCTAGCCGTGGTGCTCACCGTCATTGCCTTCAAAGATGCCATGGAGGACTACAGACGTTACCGCTATGACAAGAAAATAAACAACACACTGACACATGTCTACAGCGGGTCAGTATGTGTTCATCCCTGTTAATATGATGTGGTCGATGATAAGACTTTCATGATCATGTGACACTGTTTCTGTGTGAATGTTTTGGATGAGTTTTGTAACTTCCTTACTTGTCCGATTTGACGAATACACATAGCAACTTTTATTTGGTTATTTCCCTGTATTTTCCCCATATTGCATCATGACCTGTTTCAGGGAAAATGCCTAGTGAGTCATCCATAATGTTTGTTAAATTGACTGAACAGATTGCAAGACCACTGTATGTTGTCTTTTTCACATTGCAAATAAAAATGACTATTTAACTGATGGATAAAAGTAGTGCCATGCGAAAATTGTTATGGTTACAAAGTGATTTATAATTGGTCAAAATATACAACATTGTGAGACCACTCAGCCATCGGTGAATTCATTTTCATTTTGTTACTTTGACCACAATCCATTTGATGAAGCTGTTTGGAATAAATGTTATTTCAGTATTAATTATACACTATAATATTATTTATTCATATTTTGAATTAACATTTATTTTTAAGTTTAGCAGGTTTTTCATTTTTATTATAGTTTGTTTTAGTAATTTTATGTTTTTGTCATTTTTATTCTTTTTTTTGTATCTTTTATATTTTTATTAAGCTTTAATTTTTTATTTTAGTTTTACCTTTTGTACTTGTAGCATTTCAACTTATTTAATTTCAGTTATTTACCAAGGCAACATTTGCAATTTTGTAAAGTTTTTCACAAATTTATTTTATTTCAGCTTTATTTCAGTTAATGAAAATGTTTTTGTTTACATTTTAGTCTTACTTTACAATAACACTTTTTGGAATGACCAAAAAATGAAAAAATATGTTACGTTTACAGCTTGAGACTACTTTATAGGCTCGTGGGCAACTGCCCATTTGATCCTGTGCTTAATTTGTGCCTGTTCCTTGGGCCTTTGGCTTTGGATAAAATGCGATGGCTTCTGCTTTGTTCTGCATCTTGTGACAGTGACGTATTAAAGGGGTCATATCGTGAGGGACAAATTTTATTTCATCTTTTGATATAAATGACTTCACTGTGTTATTAAAACATACTGTAACTTTCAGCCCCAATTTCCCCACCAGATTTAAATACCTTTTATTGAATCTGAGCTGTAAAAATGGCTCGTTCTGAAATACTTTTTTACATTTATTTATTTATTTTAACAACAGAAACCCATAACATATATACAGGTGCATCTCAATAAATTAGAATGTCGTGGAAAAGTTCATTTATTTCAGTAATTCAACTCATTACTGAAATAAATGAACTTTTCCACGACATTCTAATTTATTGAGATGCACCTGTACATGTCAGTGACATCTATCCAGTCTATCCAGAAACCTGACCCACCAAGTAACAGGTAATAAAGGACAAAGCAGGAAAGATGCTGTTATTCCTAAGCACCAGAAAAGCTAACAAAGAGTGAAAAATGTAGAAAATTTTCAGAACATTGTATTGTTCCTGGCTCGGTGCATCACCTGCATCTCTGCATATCCTTCAGATGGATACCAATGTTAGAAATAAGTTTAGCTTAACTGCTGTGTATGGCCTCTTGACTTTGTCACTTGCTTTCATCACTTTCACTTTTCTTTTTGTGCACTGGTTCACTAAACCGAACAGCCAATCAGAGTGATCTTTCTCACCAATGGCTCAGACACTGATTCAACGTGCTCAATCGGACTCGGCCACCAACACTTTTTTTTAATTTTATTTATTTAATACCACAAACGTGAAACTCCCCACTGTTATTATCATTAAAAAGTATCGACTGTTGACACAGATTCACAAACCAAACACTGCGCCTCTGAGATGAGGAGATCATTTCCAATAAATAGCATTGCATCATTTCCAAATTGTGCAAAACTTCCTTCTAGGCTGTCAAGGACTTTAGCCATTAGAATTAAAGATTCTCCTCTGTTCCTTCGTCTTCAGTCTTCTATGTAAAAACGTTACAGGGTCTGTTTCTAAAACAATGCTTCAGTATTTCCTTGAAGGGATATGTTAATGAGCTCTAGTGTCTTGATGTGAAATTTCAAATGTAGTTGTGAAAGTGTGTGATGTCACAGTTAAGCCTCTCCCACCCCCTATAGCCAGTGCTCATTTCTTGTAACAAGACATCTGACATAGGACACCTTGCTTTCCCTTCATCTATGTTTGACTACAGCCACTGTAAAACACTAAAAATATCTCACATATCTACGACATGCAATTAAAAATTAGCCTTGATAAAGTAATGCTTGTAATTGTATCCAGTCCTGATTAAGTTTTATAGTGATAATAATAACAATCTAGGCTTCAAAAGTCCAGAGCTCCTTAGATGATAGATGACTTGTGTTCCCTGTCCGGGATAAACATTACACTGCAAACTGGTCGCTTATTTACCAGCCCTCAGTTTTCCTTGTCTAAAAACTGCCTCTGAGTCATAAAAAGCTATACGTCTACTTTGTTTATGATGCCTGGGAGTGTTTCCTGGATAAGGAGCAGCCTGGTCTGTATATTGTGGATTATTACAGGTTTCTGAGCGACCCGCATTACTGTTGAGACAAAGGTTTGGAAGAGCATAATGTTTCTCAGGTGTCAGATCTTGCATGTGTTGATCTTGGCTCGGACAGAATCAGAGACATGAATTTGACTAGTGATGGTGAGACCTGTTGGACATGCTCGGGATAGAGAATCTGCCTAAATTGGCCGGACCATTCTTACAGACTGTGTCTCTGGAGCGGAAGAGTCCAGCTGCCATGATTCAGCAGTTGGAGCTAGATCAAGCTGGCATGGCAAAAGATCTGGCCAAAAACAGAAGGGTTGTCATGCCAAGTTGGACTGAACATGAAGAAATAAAGGAATTACAACAGTCTTACAGCAGGAATAAGGTCCGGACGACCAAGTACACCTTCATATCTTTCATCCCCAAGAATCTTTTTGAGCAACTTCATCGTTTTGCCAATGTATACTTCGTCTTTTTGGGCGCATTGAACTTTGTGCCTATTGTAAATGCGTTCCAGCCGGAGATCTCGATCATTCCTATTGTCTTCGTGATGTCCATAACTGCTGTTAAAGACCTTTGGGAGGACCAACGTCGGAAGAAGTCTGACCAACAGGTCAATAACCGCTTATGTGACATCTATGACAGGTAAACGCATGAAACCTTCTGAATGTCATGATTGAAAATATGCATATGTAATTTTGTTCTTTTACCATATGTGGCATGGCAGCTGATATCTGCTAACAGTGGATCATAGTATAGTGCATATATAGTTAAGGTATTATTTAACCTAGCTGTGAGGTGACTTGCCCCAGATGTTTCACTTTTGACAGTTTCTTGATCCCAACACAGGCTTGTTCCTCAAACAGTCAGAGGTGTGGCTTCATAACTTCATTGTATGTGTCAAATCCAATAAACATTGGTTTTTCCAAATACAGTCATTTGGATTAGCATGGTAAAGTGTCAGAGCTACACTGTTTATTTAAATTTGTGTGGTTAAAACGGCTAAACCATAATTGGTGGGCTTGTATGTTTATTTCTAATCTGTATCCTGTGCTGTAACCCATGTGCGTCATTTTTTTTTTATTAGCGTAGCTGTTAGTTAATGGTTAGCTTGATGTATAGTTATTATCGAACTGTTTGTCCTTTATAATTGAGCGAATATCTCTCGATCAGAGGTTTGTTCTTTGTATCTCATGTGTGTGTGTGAGAACAATGGCATATTTTCACAGATAATTAATTGATTCATATTCTGTGCTTATTTCTAAGAATCACACTATGACCTTGACAGGAACAAAAATCTAAAAAATCTTATAAATGCTCCAATGCTATTGTTGAATTGAGAATGTATTTTGAAAGGGTATTATGGGTGTATTTGCTAGATGTTGCTATTATACACAGTGTAACGTCTGTAAATGGCAGGTATGAAAACACTGTTTATATTTTGCCTTCTTGCACTAATGACCTGACAAATATTGTACCAAAACGATGAATTATCCAACATTTGGCTCTAGTTAAGCTGTTAATGCTGCTCAGATTAAAAAGGCTCCCTTGTGATTGTCTACCCGCAGGGGGTCATTAGTTTACCTGTTATGGAGTTGTTGCTGTGGGTGACAATGACGCGCAGCGTTTGCTCGATTACTATGCTGGTGTGTTTAGTTCAGTAGGTACTAGCAGTAATTGTTAAATCTGTTTGTTTGTGTGTGTGTGTGTGTGTGTGTGTGTGTGTGTGTTGTGCTTAAATCATATTGCACATCAATGCACAGAAACAAAGCATCATTGGAAATGCATATACCTGTATGTTTTTGTCATGTGCAATGGTGCAGGTATATATTAAGTGCTTTGTTTCACAATGGTTCTGCAAATATTCAGTTATACCACGTGCAAGACTGGTTTTCAGTGCCATCGATACTGTGAGGGCTGTTTTAACTAATAATAAACACATTTATACACGACTCTCAGGAATACTGTATTCTGATTGATCAGTCTGCAGTCAAATAACTAAACCATATATTTGCATTTGTTGTTCCTGTTGTTTCTAGTATTTGTCTTTCGTGCTCATCTTGTATAATTTTTTTATACAACCATGCATGAAACAGTCAATATTACTCATATTTTGATACCAAATTTTTGTGAAAAATTCTGAAAAATTTTGAAATGTTATTTTGAAAATTGCCTTTTAGGAAAGCTAAATAATTTTTGAAGTACTGGTCTGTGTTATGTGTCAGTTTATGCATGCAGAAAGCGCTTTTCTAGAAAGTGCCTTTTTTTCAATACATTTTTTTTACAGTGTCTTGCTTATATGATTTTCTTATTTATTGTCTCAAATATTGACAATGAAATCAATATTTGAATCCTGTTGTTCGTCCAATATTAATAGTGAATCCAAATAAAGAGTGTGTGTGTTTGTGTTGAAGGAAGCAGAAGCGGTATGTGGAGCGGCGTTGGGCAGCGGTGTCTGTCGGTGATCTGATCCGTCTCTGCTGTAATGAGATCATTCCTGCTGACATGGTGCTGCTGCACTCATCTGATCCTAATGGAGTGTGTCACATCGAGACGGCCAACCTGGATGGAGAAACCAACCTCAAGCAAAGGCAGGTGGTCCGTGACCTGCCACAGCAGGTGAGTGGCCAGTCTGTCCAGTTCATCATCTTCATCACCATTGTCTTTGGTTTTCCTCCATAAATATATGAGATGAAATAGGTTTTGCTAAAAAAAGGTCAGTGTTTTTTTTTTTGTATTAAAATCTATTAAGTTGTTAAAAAGAAATAAAATGCAGTTTATATAGATAATGACTTTAATTTATATCATCTATGATTCTGTGTTTTTGAATTCTGAACAATAGGGCTGCAACAAACGATTATTTTGATAGTCGATTACTCTACCGGTTATTAGAACGATTAATCGACTAATCAGATTATTTCGCTGATTAATCAGTAGACATTTATTGATTATTCAGCTTTTGCAATTAGTTAAAATATTGAGTTATACATATTCTAACAAATAAATTAAGGTAATCACTTCAGCTTTTGAAAGTCATATTATGTCATTACAATTATACAATTAATTTATACAAATAAATATATTTGGCACACAAAATGAAATGGCAGAGAAACTCTTATTCACCATTTAATTAGCTATATGAGAAAGTAGCTGAATGACATCATTCTGCCTAAAATCTTTTTTTGTAAGTCATATGGATAAGAAACAAAATAAAGGTTAAGTGATACGACATTTTATTTTTGGATAATCTATTTTATTCACAGCATAATCTCTCTTAAAATATTTTATAGGGTTATGATAATCAAAACAGTCCTGAGCTAGATAAAGCTTTGATCTCTGCAAACCAAACTATAACTTTAATGAAACGTTTTTTTCCCCCACTAATAAAAAGATTTCATTAGCTAGCTCCACTCCACAACACATACAGTTGTAATTTTATACGGACTCTGGTTTTTCATGTTTAATACTGTAACGCTGCTTGATTTAAGGCTATCTATTGCATAAAGTACTATATAAATAAACGTGACGTTGTCGATAATGTCGACTAATCGTTTCAGCCCTACTGAACAATGCCTGGTGAAAGTCCAAAATTGCAAGCTATGATTTGCAAGCTATAGCAGTGTGCGGAATTCATTTATTTTTGTTGGACTGTTTGCTTTTCTTTTTAACTACACACCTGCTTTTATGATTTACTTGGAGTTGTGGTGGTATTTCATTTATATTTAGAATTTCTGAATTAAAAGAAATATTCTTGTGAGGCATTAAGTAGGGTGTTACTATAATTAATTATGAAGAAAAATGTCTGATGAAATGCTGAATTTCTTTACTTTGTAAAAAACCTCTTTGAACAGTATGTTTAAAAATGTGACGTGATCTTCCTTTAGGGATCTGAATTTGTTCCAGAAAACTACAGCAGTCGCATTGAGTGTGAAAATCCCAACAATGACTTGAGACGGTTCAGAGGCTTCATGTGAGTAAAGCAGTGAAATTCTTCTGTAAATTAACAAGGCTTTTTTATGAAAATAATTGTGACTTTGTTTTTGTACGCAGGGAGCATCCTGGTAAATTGCGGGTTGGACTCCACAGTGAAAACCTGCTCCTGAGGAGCTGCACTGTTAGGAACACAGAGACTGTGATTGGCATTGTGGTCTATGCAGGTCACTTTCACATCTTTGCACATAGTGATCAACTTCAGATAGGATGAGATCATTGTATTATTATAAAGAGCTCGATTGAGCAATAAAAGAGCTTGTGTATGTGTGTGTGTGTGTGTGTGTGTGTGTGTGTGTGTGTTCAGGTCATGAGACAAAAGCAATGCAGAATAACAGTGGGCCGCGGTACAAACGAAGTAAACTGGAGTGCAGACTCAACATGGACGTCCTCTGGTGTGTCGTTTTACTGTTGCTCATGTGCCTTACTGCTGCTGTAGGTCAGTATTACGGTCATTGACACACTTTTGACATGATTTAAACTTTTAAGCACTAGGTTAATGTTATTTTTGTGGGTTTAGTGAAAATGTGCACGTTGTGATCTACAGGTCATGGTTTTTGGTTGAGTGGACTGCATAATCCCATCTTCATGATCCCTGATGACACGCACCCTGCACTCGCTGCCTTTTACATGTTCTGGACTATGATCATTGTTCTGCAGGTGAGTGATAGTGGGCAGAAACATTTGATATCTACACAAACACAAGCATTTGATATTCAAGTATACTACTGGTCAAATGTTTGGTATAATTATTTTTTAATATTTTTGGAAGAGGTCTCTTTTTCTCACCAAGGCTGTTTGTTTATTTCAAAATACAGAAAAGAAACTGTAATATCGTGAAATATTTTTACAATTTTAAACGATTTTCTATTTGATTATATATTACAGTGTAATTTATTTCTGTGATGGCAAAGCTTAATTTGCAGCAGGCATTACTTCAGTTTTCAGTGTCACATGATCTTTCAGAAATCATTCAGCTTTACCATGTCAGGAATAATAGTTAAATCGGTTAAATAGATAATCACTTTTATGCTCACTAAAGTATATTCCTAGAATATCTGACATTGCTGGTCTCCTCTGCCTCCGTTTCCCTCTGTTGCAGGTGCTAATACCCATTTCCCTCTATGTGTCGATAGAGATTGTGAAGCTGGGACAGATTTATTTTATTCAGAATGATTTAGATCTGTATAACCCAGTACTGGACACAGGAGTGCAGTGCAGAGCACTGAACATCACAGAAGATCTTGGACAGATCCAGTTCCTGTTCTCTGACAAGACGGGAACCCTCACAGAGAACCGCATGCTGTTCCGCTGCTGCACTGTTGCAGGAACTGAGTACCCTCATCATGAGAATGGTCAGTTTACTTCATAACAGCCTTCAAAATATACCGACTGATTCTGTGGGTGTGCCGTGCATAAGAATAAAAGATTAAACTTTTCAATTAAAATGTTAAATTGATTGACTGGCTTACTTTTAATCTCAATATTGGTTAAGAATAAAATCTAAAAAGATTTTATAGTATATTTTTTAAGGCTGTCAAACATGCTAACTTAAGATATTCATAAATTGATGAATATTAAGATATTTATTTATGTATTATAAGAACAATTTGCCATATTATGGTTTACATTTTCATTCTGCTCTCTGAAAACTGGAAATAAATCATGGGATTAGTTGCGATTATATTATATTTACAGCCATAAATATATATATATATATATATATATACATACATACACAAACTGTTTCAGTTTTGTGAATAAAATGATTTTATTTTGTCCAGCTTACAATTTTTTTTACTGTTGCCCTCTAAATAACTTTTAACTGTTTGTATAAGATAATGATAGTGTTCTACTGATAATGATTTAATGTATGATCATGTTTGCTTGTTTCTCTTCAGGAATTTCTCTGGAACAGTATGAGGAGCAGGGCTGTGGTGATGCCGATCACTCTCTCACCCTGAGGTCACGCACTAGCAGGAAGTCTCTGAGCTGTAAATCGCTCAGCTGCAACCGGAGTTCAGTGTCCCTCAATACCCTCACTGCGGAGTCTGACACGCACTCAGTCCACGACACACTCCGCAGACACACACCCGGGGCCTTCAGCAGCACCATGGTGAGAAAAGAACAGACTTATCTTCAACATTTACTGTACATGTATACTTTTCCATGTCTTTATTACTTTATTCCCTGTATTAGTCATCTATTAATTTATACAGTAACACACACCTGAAGTATATATTGTCACTGCTATGAAGTTGTGTATGTAATTGTCATTTTTTCCTCTAGGAGTGTGCTGTTGTTCCAGACCCTCAGCTTCAGGCGAAGCTGAACACCCTGTCTTTACCCATGTGTTCCCCTCTCCGACAGGAAGCTGCTGAAATCTCTCACATACTGGACTTCTTTCTTGCCCTCACTGTCTGCAACACTGTAGTAGTTTCTTCACCCACTCAGCCAAGACATGTGGTATGATCCAAATCTTTCAACTGAGTCTCAAACTCATGCTATCATTCACCCCACCGAACATATGGTATTGATTACTATAGGGTGCTGTTTTATAGTTTGAACACCTCAACATGATTTAAAGCTTTCTTTTGGTCATTCATTAAAAAACTATATTTTTTATAGTTTTAGTATTTTAGTAGTGGTGCTTTAATTGGTGTTTTTTAAATTTGGTGCATGGTAAAACCCTCTCAGCAAAGCATTTTTAAATTCATCCCCTTTAAAGCTCTGGTGCTGCACGCTGCGATACACTTTCAGGTGGCATCACACGCATCACATATTGCCATCATTTTATGTTTTTTTTTTTCAAAGTCCATTTGTTAAATCTGTGGTCACATTAGCAGTCAAGGCAAAAGAAGCAAAATGAGGGCAAAAGAGATCCATTGCAGATTGCAGACAAAAAAGATCCATTGTCAGAAGTGTAGCAATATATGAAGAACCGAATTTAAATATATATAGTTTGGCAACTTCATTGCAAAACACAATTTTTGGTAACAATTTATTTTACAGTGGCCATGCTACACGTTGCATGTAATTACTATAGTAATAACAGTAAATTATGTATAATTAGATGCAACTAAGTCCAAAACAAGTATGTGAGTATTGTATGTAGGGCTGGGTGATATGGCCAAAAAAATTATCATAATAAAATGTTTCATATCAGTTGATATTGATAATTATCACAATAAATTTCAAATCTTTATTTCTTTCAAGTTTAAAGGCAGATTTTTGCTCCTAAGTGAAAGCTGTAGAAACCAGTGGTTTTAAACTACTCTGTATGGTCAGGACATGACAAACACTTCACGTTGTTGAATTCTTTACACTTTTCCAGTCATTTTTCCTTAACAAAACAAATATCTTAATAGAAAAATTAATTTCGTAGTTTCTGCATGTTCTAATGAGTTATATTGTTTCAAATCATTATCATTATTTGTGTTGCCTGTACAGCACAGTTTTCAGTGCAGGCCACAATATTAATAATATATATTTTTTTTTTTTGCCTCTTAGAAATGCACATTTAGCTTGAGTTGACAGTAGTAGTAGCTTGAGTTCGGGTGCAGTTGTAAATTTATGTTCATTATCAAAAACGGTAACATATGTAAAAATTGTAATAGACTAATTTTTATATGGTGAAATGTAATTATTCTAACTGTTTGAGTTTTATTAAAATTAAGCATTGGTCTTCCATAGTAACATACATTTAGATCATGATAACCACAGTTAAAACCACACATGTAGCGCCTGTAACTACTGTCCATATCTTCTAGGTATTTGTATGAAACAGTAGTCTAACAGTAGTCTAAATACATTTAGTTTAAATGCACAAACACTGTAGCTTAATCACAATATTACTGTAATTATATTCCATTACTCCTTTAATACATCTACATTAATAATATAATACAATTCCATACTTTATGTATATCCCACATTTCTGCCACAATACCATGGTGCAGTTAGTGTTACTACAGTAAATCCATGGTAAATGATGGTGATTTGTAGATTCAAAAGCTTTTGACTGTATCGTTGCGCAGTGTTTCTCCTGTTTGTCAGCACTGTTTCATCTGGCTTTAAACTCGTTTAAATCAGGTAGTCATTTGTGTTCTTCGTTGAATTCAGGTGAACTCAATTAAGTTTGCTGAGCAATCTGATTTCAAGACTTATCTTAAAGGGGTCATATGAAAACTTGAAATCGCATCATATGACCCCTTTAATTTGTGCCAGTTTTTCATGGACGTGTTTCACTAAACATTCATAGCACACTTCCTGCAGATGTCACCTTGCTCTAATAGACTGGCTTTAGCAATGGGTTTAGCACCGGGACTTTTCCCAGTGGGCTAGTCAGTTTTTGGGCTGGCTGTCAAACTGAATTAATCTTGAAACAGTTCAATCTTTGCTGAAATTACTATCTTTTTTTATATAATCATAATCAAATTAGCCAAAATATTAAATAAACTCAGATTCAGTGTGGGCATTTACTGTATGTGCGTAGTTGTGAATATGTGAATAATATTCATTTGTAATATCAGGTTCAGATGCCCATGGTTCGCACACCCCTGCGCTCTCTAGAGGAGATGAAGGCCATGTTTCAGAAGCTGAGTCTGCCTCGCTTTCCCTCATCACCTAATCAAAACACAGACACTCTTCCCAACCTAACCAAAAAACTCTTCAGCCAGGGTCGTTCTGCTTCCTACTTCCCTAACAGCAGCCCACAAACACCCATCACGACCCTACAGTCACCCACCATACCCTCTGGCACCCCTTCAAATACCCCACCCACTCCCGTCACTCCAGCACTGTCCAGTGGGGCGTGGAGTAAGAACATGGACGACATACAAAAGGCCAAAGATAACTCTGCTGAGTCGGAGAGTGATGATGAAGATGAGGCAGAAGAGTTGCTGTACGAGGCGGAGAGCCCGGATGAGGCAGCATTGGTGCAAGCAGCGAAGGCCTATGGGTGTACTCTGCTGGGCCGGTCCCCAGAGCAAGTCCTTGTGGCTGTTCCAGGCACTGGGCCGCTGTCCATCTCTCTGCTACACGTACTGCCATTTCATTCTGCCCGCAAGAGGATGTCTGTGGTGGTGCGCCATCCCCTCACTGGAGAGGTGGTCATTTACACAAAAGGAGCTGATAATGTCATTATGGAGCTGGCTGAAGCAGGTATGCGAGGAGACGTCTTTTAATGTTTATTAAGGTTGGTTCACACTGTCCCAAACAATGCAAATGCTTCAGATATTGTAAAGTCAGCTTTTGGACTTAGTTTATTGATAAACACAACTGTTAGAATCAAAGAGCCACAAAACATTTGCTTAAAAAAGGTATAATTTAAAATAACTGAAATCTAAAATGTTTTCTTATCTGTATTTTTGTCTTGTTTTCCCAGTACAAATAGCCTATGTAAAAACATCAAGATATATTTACTTGAGAAACAAAATGACGTAACAATTTTAAAGGGGTCATATGATGCTATTTTAAAGATCATTATTTTGTGTATTTGGTGTAACAGAATATGTTGACATGCTTTAATGTTCAAAAAACATTATTTTTCAAATACTGTAAATTATTGTAGGTCCTCTATGCCATTGAAATCGCATCATATGACCCCTTTAAAATTAATTTAAACTTTAAAATTAATTTAAAAGGATAGTTCAGCCAAAAATGAAAATTCTGTCATCATTTACTAACCCTCAAGTTGTTCCAAACCTATAAGAGTTTCTTTCTTTTGTGGAATGTAAAAGAAGAAATTTTGAAGAATGTGGTTAACCAAGCAGTTGCTTGTGCCCACTGACTTTCCAGTATGTATGGGAAAAAAATAATACGGAAGTCAATGGGGACCAGAAACTGTTTGGTTGCCCACATTGTTCAAAATATCTTTGTGTTCCGCAGAAGAAAGAAATTCATACAGGTTTGGAACAACTTGAGGGTGAGTAAATGATGACAACATTTTTATTTTCGGGTGAGCTATCCCTTTAAGTCTATTTTTTATTTATTCATTTATTTATTTATTTTCGTTTGAAAAATTTATCAAAATTAAGTGACTTACATGTTTACAAGTTTATTTTTCTTTACCCTATTGCAGATATTTTTGTAACATCTCATACTGCTGACATCTCATATTGCTTCTGCTTAGATATTAAGGCTTAGAAAAGGCCTCTTTCTGTTGGTCTAAAAGAGCGGACCACTCTGAGGGTGCAGTCACATTTACCTTTGTATGCTGAAAGTCATCTCAATAGGAATCTGCGCAATTTTCATCAAAGTGTCTGCAATGTTACTGTGCCTTGAGACCTGAAAAGAACCAAGTGTGAAAACACTGAGAAAAGATCCCCTCATGTGTTTGAAGTATGTATAGTAGATTACAGACAGAACAGAGTGTTGTCCCTTCAGATTGCAAACTGTGTGTTTATGTAAATCATAGTCTTGAAGTTTAAGAATCACACTAGTCCATAATGTCATTTTGATTTAATTCAAGTAAAGGGATAGGAACAATGAAAATTTGCTGTTAATTAATTTACTCTGAGGCCATCCGAGATGCAGGTGAACATTAAAGATGATTTTTAGCAGATCTCATGGTCCCTAGTGATTCATAATATGCAAGTCAATGGGTGCCATCACTTTGCCAGTCAGATACAGGGAAAACAGATACAGAAAACACCAAATTAACACATGTGGGTCCTATGAAGCAAAACAGTAGCCTTAGTCAATTAAGTATTTAATTGTGCAACCCCTCTTGTTGTAATTTTGGATGTGCTATTGCCCCAGCAGTGTTGAACTCTATAAACTCATGTCTTTGTTTTGACTGTGTGTGCATGTGGAGTGCAGCTGACGATGGTTTCTCTAGGGAGATCATGGAACGGACGCAGAGACACCTGGACCAGTATGCAAGAGATGGACTGCGCACTCTCTGTGTTGCTAAAAAAGTAAGCCTTTATCTCTCACTTCCCTTATTTGTAAAATTTATTATCTTCTGTTTACATACAGCACTGAAATGCCTCTGCATGGAGGTTGAGTCTTGAAAGAAATTGTTGGCATATGATTGACAGGTATTGGAAGAGCAGGAATACAAAGCCTGGTTGAAGAGACATGAGTATGCAGAAACCAGCATTGAAAACAGAGAAGAGCTTCTGCTTGAATCTGCCGAGAGACTGGAAACTAATCTCACATTATTGGGTGAGATACTAAAGCCTCTTGCACACAGAGATTCTGGAAAATACAGGGATAATGTGTCCCGTGATTTGTCCCAGGATCGTTTGATTTTGGTTCATTCACACTGTCAGTGATTTTCCGGAATCTGTGCGTGCGTTCACACACATTCCATAAAGATCCCGTAAAGACATGTGACATTAGGATATGATGTGTAATGTCACGCGTTCCACTAAGTTGGCGAACAATCTCAGCTTCAGCGAGGATAGTGAGGATCTCTCTGATCTCTGCTTCATTCCAGCAATGTTGACTGATCCCGGCAATGTTACTATGTCCCCATCCCGGGATTGTTCACAGGATCAATCCCGGAACGTGTTTGCATTCATACAGACAGTTAAGACAGTGAAGACAAAAATTAAATCTCCTTAAAACTACATTGTGTGTTGGTTGTCCTAGCCTAATTGTGTCTTGGCTTCCAGGGGCGACGGGTATAGTGGACCGCCTGCAGGAGGAAGTGCCTGAGACCATTGAGGCTCTGCAGGAAGCTGGGATTAAAGTTTGGGTCCTCACAGGGGACAAACAAGAGACGGCTATTAATATTGCTTTTGCTTGCAAACTCCTCAGATCTACAGACCACATATTGATGGCCAATTGTGACAGCAAGGTGAGTAGAGGAGGTGGAAGAAAGGATTATAAAAAAAAATGAAAGTATACACCTTCATAGCACTGGCCATTCAATGCAGTTGTTGACCCCTGTAAATAAAACGAAAAACAAAAGAAGGAGAATAGTGCACATGCTCTAAATATTTTGTGTGGTGATGCTTATGTGCATTCAAACATTTTCCATATGCTACATAATATGGAATATTATATAATATGTAATATAATTAATACAAATATATATCACACTGATCTGGTTTATAGTCACATTTGTTATCTTAATCCTAAACTAATGGGGAGGTAACAATTGTACAAATTGATGTATAAATATAAATTATTTATCAAATATTTAAATATAATTTATTTTGTCAATTTAATATTTTTTTTATAATATGCAGTAAGTTAAAGAACACGTAAAATTCCAAAATAAGGATTTTTCTTCATATTAGACTATCTGTTCTTATGTCCAAAACATCTACGTATTTCTGTAACTCAAACAGTGGAGCATGACGCTAACAATGGCATGATCATAGGTTTGATTCCCAGGGAATTTGTGAACTAATAAAAAAGTGTGTGCTTCAATTCCAGCAAGTTAGTCGTTTTGCATAAAAGCATCTGCCAAATGCAAAAATGTAGATTGAGCAGAATGACTTTTTCCATCTATATTGATTTTGGGGATTGCCGTTAATAATTCAATTAAAACCAACCTAGATATTATATTACTAGAAAACATGCAAAAGCTGAGGTGCAAATGCCAACAAAAAAATCACAAAAAACAAAGGCAGAGACACCCATATGTTCAGTCTTTTATGTTGCAATTTATATATAACTGGAATCTGAATTACTTTTCTGTGTGTGTCCCTCAGGAGACATGCGAGGCTCGACTTCAGGAGTTACAACATGAGATCAGACAGGTCACAAAGGAAGGCACATCTGAAGATGATAGTTCTGACAGTGTGTTGGTCATTGACGGCCGTACGCTGGACTACGCTCTGCAGAAGGAGCTACAGGGGTCATTCCTGGACCTTACATGCTGCTGTCGCTCAGTCATATGCTGCAGATCCACCCCTCTGCAGAAGAGCCAAGTGGTGCGGCTTGTCAGAGACAAGCTGAAGGTCATGACCCTGGCTATAGGTGAGTAAGGATAGTGAGAGGTCTGATGAAGGTGTACGGTTGAATGGCAGTGTAGAATGTTGTTCAAACTGAAATGTGTGATGCTTATATTCAGGTGATGGAGCCAATGATGTCAGTATGATTCAAATGGCAGATGTTGGCATCGGCATCTCAGGCCAGGAGGGCATGCAGGTACAGTACAAGCAGAAACCAGGGTTGGGCAAATTTCAGCAATTAAGAATTAACTACCTTGCAATTAATGAGGGTGAATTAATCTGGATTCAACTGGATTGACAACATTCCAAAGGATGTTCAGTTGAAAAGATATAAGAAGGAATTTACTCAACAAAATAAATAAATAAATAAAATGTGTAATTGCATTATTTGTTTTGACTAATTGTCCAATTTTGACTAATTACACTGCCGTTCAAAAGTTTGTCTCTTATACGCATCAAGGCTGCATTTATTTGATACAGTAAAATGCTAATATTATTACCATTTAAATATAATATTTTAAAATGTAATTTATTCCTGTGATGGCAAAGCTGATTTATCAGCATCATTACTCTAGTCTTAAGTGTCACATGATCCTTCAGAAATCATTCTAATATGCTCATTTGCTCAAGAAATATTTCTTCTTATTATCAAACTCTTCCTTTCATCTCTGTCTTGTTCCTTTCATCTCATGTGTACTTGGAGAAAACAAAAATAACTCAGAGGAGAATCCACTCTGAAAATATATTCACACATTGGATCATTTATTTTTATAGATTAATATAGAATTAATGAGAAAGAACAAGAAAAAGAATATAATGTATTTACAGTCTGTATTTACAATGATTGTATATGTGTGTGTGTGTGTGTGTGTGTGTGTATGTATGTATATATTGTAGTTCATTTGATAGAACAGATCTCTTTTCCATATATAGGCGGTGATGTCCAGTGACTTTGCTATCTCTAGATTTAAGTTCCTGAGAAAGCTCATTTTGGTTCACGGTCATTGGTGTTACACTCGTTTGGCTAACATGATCCTCTATTTCTTCTACAAGAATGTGGTGAGTAATACACACATTTACACAGTTCCTCATGCAGCCCTTATCTTATGAATCAGTGCGGTCCTGACGTGTTCCTCTTCTTTTCTCTTTTCATGTAGATGTACGTGAACCTTTTGTTCTGGTACCAGTTTTTCTGTGGATTTTCAGGCAACACGATGACCAACTCGTGGGTTTTAATCTTCTTCAACCTGCTCTTCACCTCCGTCCCTCCAATCATATATGGCGTGCTGGACAAAGATGTGTCCAGCGAGATGCTCCTAGAAGTGCCTGATCTCTACAAGTATGGACAAAACTCGCAGGTGGTCATTTGTGTTGTGTTGTTTTGCAGTGTGTTGTACATGGTATGAATATAGTGATGGCTTATGTGTAGTTATGTGATGCTTGATTTTCAGGCCTATCTTCCGTCAACGTTCTGGCTGAACATTCTCGATGCTTTTTACCAAAGCCTAGTGTGTTTCTTCATACCTTACTTTGTAAGTCATTCTAAAGTTCTTCACTTTACTGAGTATCATAATGTTTAATTTTCAGAGTAGTGCTCACATTTAACAATTTATGTTGTTGTTTTTATGCTATGAAGGCATATGCAGGGTCTGATATTGGGGTATTTTCTTTTGGCTCTCCAATCAACGGCTCTGCTCTCCTCATCATCCTCATGCATCAGCTCATAGAGAGTCGCACAGTGGTGAGCCAATCACATTTGTTCAGTCCTAATTTCTTTCTCATCTATAATGCTGTGTGATATGTAAAATAAATCTTTAGAATAGTTATTGCATTCCATGCCAAATGTAACACCAAGTCCTCACCAAGTGTGATGACAAAATCTCTTAAACACTAATAGAGTTTTCTTAATTTTTTGGTAGACGTCTGTTATGCTCATCAATGCTGAATTTATTTAATCAAAATTACATTTTGATAATCATTTTGTGAAAAATAACAATAAAAAAAAAGGATTTCTATTTTAATATATTTTAAAATGAAATTTAAAACTGTAAAATGTTATTCCTGTTTTTTTCTAAATAAAATTTCCAGCAGTCTAATATGCTGATTTCAATTTAAAAAACAACATTTTATTCCAAACGTTTGATTTGGATATTTTGCCCCACCCACGGTAAAATCCTATTGACCCAAGATTCAACTTCGCAAAACTGTACATTAAAGATCAAATATCATTTGATTGGCTGTATACAGTACATGATGTCACATCATCATTTAGTGCACACAGACAAACACCACAGTAACAACACAGAATTGAGTGATTCTTGTCACAAAATGTACATACCATACCAGGATATTTAATGTCTTTATTTATGGGTGACTGTCTCTGTATCTTCTGCTAATGCTGGTCTTGTGTGATTTTTTTTCCCTTCCAGACATGGATACATGCTGCATTGCTGCTCTTCAGTGCCTTGTTCTATTATGCTTTTGTCCTGTTGTTCAACATTGCGTGTGTGACGTGCAATTCTCCTACAAACCCCTATGGCATTGAGACAAAAATGATGTCTGAGCCGCTCTACTATTTAGTATGTGGATTTACCACAGTCCTGGCCCTGCTACCTAGGTATTACACACACATATCTGAATCAGCTCATTTACATACCAGTCACAGTAACAAACTGACACTGACTATCTTTACGTGTGCACCAATAATGTGATTTTTATTAAGATGTTTACATGTCACAAGCTGTAACTGTGTTTGCCTACACTGCACCGCTTTCTTTGCACGGTTTCGTTCAGCAATTTGCAGTGGAGGGAAAACTTTAGAATAATGTCAGTGAGTTCATTCATGAAAAGATGTAAACAACAGAGCATCCGTGTACATCCGAGCACATGCTCACTTTGGTAAGCGCAGCAATAATGTGATTAAGGTGTTTACATGCCTGTTTATTGCAATGAAAATCAGTATAGTCTAATGCGATTATGGTTAGTATGATTATGAGCTTAATCGCATTAGTTTGATCAAAGTATTGTGTTTACATGAAGCAAAGGTTAATCACAATATTGCCAAAATCCCATTATAATCATATTATGAGGGTGCATGTAAATGTAGTCACTGCTTCAAAACCCAGTGAAATGACTACCCAGATGGCATGTTAAAGGCTGGAATACACTACATGACTTTTAAAATCTGAACAGATTTTAAAACAGTAGGCATTGTAAACTTGTCGACTTTTTAAGTGGCTACAGAAAAAAAATGAGCATCATGCACTTAAAATAAATATATGCTCTGCATGTTTCATGTTTTTTTTAGACACAAGCAGCTCATGATCTGCCGGTGTTTGTAGTGTCTCAGAGCAGCTCCATCTCTGCATATGCTCTGAGTTCGGGGTCACTTTAACATGCATTCAGGAATGCAATATGTGCCAACCATCTTCCCATACTTCTAATGAGAAGCACTTATCAACAAAAGATAACCTTTAAGGGCTCCCTGAAATCTGTCAACTCCGTCTGCAGACTAACTCTGACTTTAAGCAATTAGTTGACTCTTTTGGACTGCAAATCTGGACAAAAGTCATGTCATGTATTTCAGGCTTAAGACACAAAGATTCCCTCTGAGATGCCTAGTTTTTCCTATTTCTAAGGCAGTGCTGCATATATCCTTCACAGTGAAGGCAAGAACCTGCATGCACAAAATTTTATAGCGTGATTTAAGCTAAAGAAGCAACATTAATTACACCATTATTTGAGAACTGTTATTGAAATGCAATCTTGACAAACTAGTTTTCAGCTGTTCCCAATTCAAGTAGATAGGATCTGTACTTGTATGCCTTTTACCTGCATAGAGAATAGATGCCCATGGGCATTACCACGATGGCTGGTAAAAAAAGACTGGCCATACTTTATTGGGATCAGTCACTCATGGTTTTATCTTGTCTTAAAGGCAGTTCTTGATGGTACAGTGTAATTAACTCGTCTCTTTCTGTGTCACAGGATCCTGTTTCGTGCCTTTTGTAACGCTATCTGTCCATCTGACCTGGTGAGAGCACAGAAAATGGAGAGACTCTCAGCACAAGACTATTCCATGAGTTTACGGCAGTGGAAGGAGGACTCAAAGACTGTCCTCCAGACACATCCCTCGGAACCTCAGTGTGAATGCTGACATGCCCCATTTAACAGATTGTATCGCTGAAGCAGGCGCTGTTCTCTCATGACCAATAAGGAAGTTGCCCTTGATCATATAAACATGGTCATTAGTTCAAATAATGACTGCATATCCTTGTACTTTATTGATTGGCAGATACTCTGACCAGTCAGAAGCCAGATCTGGCTTTTCTCTGCCCATTAAGTGTTTTCGCAGTGATGTACAGTACCTGGGCTTGGAGTACTTGGAGTCTGGCTTCTGTAGACAAAAAATATTCAGAGAATTGTTTACATTTCACAAGGCTGTGCCTGTGACATTTTTTAATTACAAATGCACTCCAGCATTATGCAAGAACCTCAGAGTTGTGAGGATGAATTGTGGGTCAGGACCTGGCTAGTGTATGCCAAGATACTGGCTACTTTGCTCCTACTTTAATGCAATACTCCATTTTTGGTTATTGTGGGTATTCCCTTAACTCTAACATATGCATAAACTCAAAATTCCCAGTCATGTTTCAGATGTTATATTCTAGCAAACTGCAAATGACGATCTCTCTGGTTGAGACTATAGGAATGATCAAATGATATGATTTTTTCCCCCCTGGTAATCACTTAATAATTAGAAGAAGCATGACTGAGTCTGTTTGAAATCTGTTCATGGAGAACTTTAATACCATGAGAACTTTACAATAAGTGAACTTTCCCTGCTCAAGAATAAAATAAGGTGAACATAAATAGGAGCTAATGTATTTTGTGACCCGAGGTCCTTGATGTCCATTTGTGTGTTCAGTCTGACAGTGAACATGCCGACTGCATGCATTACAAATGGACAAGTTCAGTATTTTATGATAAATGCTAGATTGCTTTTTATACTTAACTGCAATTTTATTTTTATTGCAAAAGTGAACACTTGCATTTTGAAAATGTGAATTGATAATCCAGAATGATCATCTAAGATGATTTCCAGTCATTGGCTAGAAAACATTATTTATCATTTTACATCTTATGTGAGCCATTTGTAGTATTTGTCAAATTTGCAATAAAACACTTAAAACATGACTACTGCTTGAATATGAACATATACACCCTGGCCTATGTGTTTTTGTAAAGCACTTGTTTTGACTGAGAGATAAGAATTAGCTTTAAAATCCTATTTTGGGCAGTACTCACTTAAAATAATTGGGTTAAAAATGACCCAACAGATAACCCAATGGTTGGTTACTATAGCACCTACCTAATGTTGGGTTATTTTAACCCAATGGATTGGGTAGTAAGTTAGTAACCCAATGCATTGGGTTAAAAAATAACTAATTTGTTGGGTTATTTGGACAAAATTTTTTTTGCTTTAACCATCCTGGTATTATTATTAGTAGTAGTAGTAGTAGTAGTAGTAGTAGTAGTAGTAGTAGTAGTAGTAGTAGTAGTAGTAGTAGTAGTAGTAGTAGTAGTAGTAGTAGTAGTAGTAGTAGTAGTAGTAGTAGTAGTAGTAGTAGTAGTAGTAGTAGTAGTAGTAGAAGGCGACATACCTTCACTCAGAGTGGACGCGACACCAGATGAAAGAGGCTCCGGTGGGTCTTCAAGACCAGCGCATCGGCCAAATATCTGAAATATATGTAAATTTTCCCCCAAAACTGTCGAGACAAACTGAAAAAGTAAGGAAACCGTTTTTTATAGGTTTGAAATTGATCGGCTTCAAAGCGCTCGTGTCAAGTCAAGAGTGCAGATAACGGCTTTTTAACGGATTAAAATATCAGTCGACAGGGGAGATGTAAACATACTCGTAGGAAAAACAGCAATATTACTGTCAGGGCTTAAAGACACTTTGTTACAAAAAACAACATAACGCACACATATTATTACCACTGTGTCATCTGTCGCAGCCGCAGTTGCACCTATCGACCGTTGGAATTAAAATTTTTAACCCAACTGGTTGCGTTGTTACAGAAATAACCCAATAAACATAGGAATAACCCAACAAAACGACCCAACATGTTTAACCCAGATATTGAGTACAGTAAATAACCCAACGTTTTTTAGAGTGTAGGGCTTAAATATAAACAACAGACTGCCCATTAAAAGTCTTTATAAACAACTGTAGCTGCACTCTAAAAAAATGCTGGGTTAAATACAACCCAGTGCTGGGTGAAATATGGACAAACCCAGCAACAGGGTTGTTTTGACCCAGCGGTTGGGTTAAATGTTTAACCCAACCTTCTGGGTAGTAACCCAACCGCTGGGTCAAAACAACCCAATTGCTGGGTTTGTCCATATTTCACCCAGCACTGGGTTGTATTTAACCCAGCATTTTTTAGAGTGTGTATAACTGGTATAACAATAAGTGATCATGTACGCTCAATAACAGATAATGAAACACATGCTTGCTTTATTTTAAGTTCTCTTACATCCAGCTCCACGTTTCTCATTTTCTTGCTTTACCTGGAGACTTAAATATAAAATTTAAGATAAAGTCGTCCATGGTCATTTTTACTACTGTCAGCAGTTGTTCTGAGTGTCAAGATGGCATAGATGAAGTATTTTAACATCCATTGGTATGTAATCGCAGAGACATGATGTGTAGATGTCTAATAATTTGTCACTGTTCGTTTATAAGATATAATATTATATAATACAGTAAACAAGGGTTGACATCTCTGCATGTCACACAACTATGGTTTTCAGAAGAGCTTTATCTCAGTTATTACTGATTAAGGGTTGTTGTTATTTTATTTTATTTTTTATTTTTTGCACAGGCAAACTCAGAAACAAGGGGGCGTTGGATTCAAATGCAGATAGTAGGTTTTAATAATAAAATAAGAATACAAAATCCACAAGGGACAGAACTGAGTACATCCACACCTAACATAAAAATGACAAACTGACTAAAATATGGCACACCAGACGGGAAGAAACTTAAAAGTCCACACACAAGACAGGTAATATAACAGTTTTGATTCAGATATCCAGTTACACAAATGATTGTTTTCTCTAGTGTTTTTTCAGACATCTAGTTTGACACCCTCTCAAGTCAGAATAATATCTGAGGAATTGCAGTGCTTTTTCATATTTTTTGGGTAACAATGATTGCAATAAAACCACACTGGTCTAACATACATCCAGACAAATATCATATAGGTAGATTTTACCTGAATGGTTAAACTGTGATAATTTCCTTTATCTCATCAAATTTCTAACCACAGGTATCAAGAAGTCAGTGCATATGGACTATGAATGATCTGTCACCACATTTTAGACAATCAACCTTTTTACCTACAGCTTTTAAAGAAATTTTCAACGCTAGAAATCATTGTTTAGAAGTTGCATTTAAAGTCCACTTGGCTCAAAAATTGTCTGAATGGACATGACACGTTTGCATAAGAGCATTCATTGTAAGGACAGAGATGCTCATGCTCATGCTATGGTCATTTGGCAGCATGATGGCAGCATTGCACTTCTGAGACCTTCCTCTTGGAATATACTGTAGACTCCTACCAACTCTACTTTACAAATAGTGTAGCGTTTTCAGTAGCGAGCTTTTTTTTCTAAGTAGCAATGGCCCACATTACTATTATTATCTCATTATTATGAGATACCCGACTGTCAAATGAGTCGGTTCACTTTTGAGTCGGCTCTTTTCAATTAATGCGTCGAACAGTAAGCGCAGCGATCCGATTCGTTTAGAGGTTCAGTCTGAATCGCCTGTTTTCCCAAGCACTGAATCGTTTGGCAAGGTAAGAGAACGAGTAAACTTAACATTTGTCTGTATCCATATTTAATTTTAACCTACAAGCATGCATAGCCTACTGCATATTTGTTTATTTCTTGAATTTTGAGCAGGCCTAAATACTGTGTAAAGTAATGTCATCCCTTAGGTTCCCACTATCAATTTGAATTCTTCTTATTGTTCGATAATTGTTCCGCATGCAGTAACGAGTAACATTGTTGGCTCTGTGACGAATAGCTCGTTATGTTCCTCATTTGTATGTCACTTTGGATAAAAGCGTCTGCTAAATGAATACATGTAAATGTAACGAACAAAACGCTGGTTCACCTTATCACTGCGCAGCGCCCATAGCCGACTGATTAGCACGTCCTAGCGGAAGAATACAGTACCTCTTAATTATGCTTAATGAAATCACGGTTTAATTAAATTTTGTGTCCTTATACTATTGTGTCCTTAATATGTTGTAACCATAGACTCTATAAAAACAGGTTGTAACCGTCGTGCCTAACATTTCAGCCATATAATGACTAAATTCACACGCACCTTATTGCCTAAGTTAATTAAATTTCTTGCTGAACGAGTTTTGTCACGACTTAAATTTTGTGCGTCGTTCGCGTGTGCTGGAGCTGGTTTAAATGTGGCCCCCTATGGCGTTTAAATAGTGTCAAATCTCGCGCATATAAAACAAGACGCGCGCACATGATATGAGCGCACAGACCAGTATCCGCGCGAGGAAAATCATCCTCGCGAGGGAGCATTTCTGCACCGCGAGCGCACAGAACAGTATCCGCGTGCAAAAATGCTCTCTCGCGAGAACGGCGCTGAGTAGCGCTCGCTCGACCTCTACGCCCTCTCAACTGCTCAACCCCTGCTCGCTCGTCAAGTTGACTTTTGAGACTTTGGAGGCGGGGATCAAATGGCAGACGTCTCCGCTCCTGTGATTGGTCAACACCGACCATGACATTTGATTGACTGGTTTCATCACTGACACCAGTGTTGTTAACGTACCGGTCATCATGTCGGAGCAAGTACGTTTTTTTGAAGGTATTTTATTCCATGTACTGTAAATAGCTAGCTAACTAAATGTTTAGTTTAATAAAACTAGCTGACGAACCATTAAAACACGGGTTCTCAAAGTGGTATACAATAGCCAGGGGGTCCGCATATTATTTTTAAAGTCCTATATCCCCGATGCTGAAAATGAGGACGTAATCTTAGAATCTAGTCATTAAAATAATTTACTGTTTAACGCGGCAGGTCATGACATTTTCTGCGTGTAAAACAAAAGTAGGACTGCACACCTAATCAATCGTCTTGTTTTATATGCGCGAGATTTGACACTATTATTTAAACGCCATAGTGGCCAGTCTTGTATGAGAACAAGTGCAAATCAGCATCTGGTTCCCGTAAATTATTACTACATTCATCTGTGGGAGGATCTATTTGACTTCCCTGTGCTGTCGCTTTCGGTTGTAGCATAATTATCAGCTGTACGTGCGCAACGGTTTCACTTCGACCTGAACTGACAAGTAGTGCTGACTGACTGACAGCGACCCCGCGAGCCGCTGCCTCTGAGAATCTGCTTCAGTCACTGGAGATCAAACCATGAGTGTCAGTTCAACACGGAGCAGCGGGGAAGAAATCGACGAGCTGGAGTCAGTTAGGTGAGTTGAACCAACCCTTCGTTCTTCGTTCTTCGTTCTCTGGACCTTCGGCATTCAAGAAATAATAAGCCAGGGCCGCTGCTGGCCACATGGGTGCCCTAAGCAGAATAGTATTGTTGTGCAGGATTGTGTAGGATTGTTGTCCTAAAAACAACAACAACAAAAACCTACTATAAGGGGTCAAAATAGAACTTTAATAAAATATAAAACTCAATAAATAAATTGTAATTAAATTGTATTATTTATAAATTACAATTGTAGCTCTAGACAGTTAACTATGGCTATGATTTTATTAATACAGTTGTCTGATTGATTTTATGGTCTCAAGCATTCAGAAATCACACAAAATAAAATTAAGCAGTTTTACTACAATAACCATGGTTAATTTTGGTAAGAGTTGTGATGTCCACATGTTTTTGTTGAAGAAATTAAAGAGGCTGTAGCATTTCTATCGCAAAAAGGTGGCCAAAAATTAAAAATTAAGTGGATATTTGAATTAAATGTTTGGTCAACAAGGATTTGATCCCTGTAAGTGTAACAACAGCAATTAGCAGGCCTTTGGTGCCCTTTGCAACCATTTGTAATAATGTAAATGGTTTATTTTGTATTACATTATGTATTTTAACAGTGTTATTCAATGAAACCATATGATTTTTATTAATTAACCAATCGCCTCGTTGTTTTTATATAAATAAGGAATAATCAAAGGCTAGCCGTGCTTTAAAGGATTTTAAATGCACGACGTGGAGGCAAAGAACCGCCAGACGCTGTTCTAGCTTCTGCCCGCTTCAAATCAGACAGAGATGAAATAGTGCGCTAAGATCACATTTATTTGAACGAATTATATTCAATTATCGATCGATCGAGAGAGAGAGAAAAAAAACAGTTGTGTGTACCTGCGTGTGTGTGTGTGTGTGTGTGTGTGTGTGCCAGTGATGCAATTAAATTAGCGCATTAATATGGAACGTTGATTAAACTGACTTGGAACTACTTGTGCATTAAACGGTTTTACTGCATACCCGCCAGCCAATCAGAATCCAGTATTCAGACAGACCATGGAATAAGTAAGGGTTATGTACATCCAGCCGGTTGTTATTTCAGAATAAACCCCGACAGGGTGATCAGGATGTACGTACATTACCATACGTACCGGCTGGATGTACATTATCCCGCTTATTACACGGCTACTTGCCACATAAGTAAATAATTAGACGCGAAATATTGATTTGAGTTGAAATATTTGAACGCAAAGCTTCCTTGAAGACAGCAGTTGCGAGCAAGCGGCAAATTCAAACTAGACGGACATTTAAGGGAAACGGTGCAGTCAAACCACTTATTACACAACATTTCACCACAAAAATAATTAAGGCAATAAAAGAATTAAGACGAAAATGTTTTAAAACCTTACCAGTTTGTTAGTTCTCTTATAATCCATTACAGCGTACAAAACAATCGTAGCAAAATGGCAGCAGCTGCGTTTGTATGAAACCAGAGTGAGTCCGCGATACCAGGATGACATAATTAAATAATTGTACACCATTTTGAATCGAGTTTTAATATTTTATTAGCTAAACAAACGCAAAGCTTCCACCAAGAAAAAATAGTTCAAGCAAGAGTACAGCGCCGACTGCTGTTACCCGGATGAGCCTGTGTTATTAGCTTTTACCGGTTGTTATCGAGGGATAGCATACCTCGGAATGTCGCGACTGACCAATCAGAATCAAGTATTCCACAGAGCCGTGTAATAATACATTTTAAGTCATGGAAACTAGAATATTAAGTCAGACGCGTTGAACATTAAAACACGTTACTAACTTCAACAGTCAAAAAAAGTTTCACAGGATTATGAACGTAGTTACCTGAAAGGGATGCACAGGCTTCATATCAGGCTTTTTTATTTTTATTTTCTCATCGCCGGACTGTGCTGATGTCTTTTCCCTGATATAGCCTAGTTGTCCATTAATTATGATGATCGTTTGTATTCAGCCGCATGCGCAAACATGAGGTGAGAGCGGGCGCAGATGCGGGAATGGCGTGTCACGTGTGCTTATACTGCCTACTGCGTTCATCAAATGGGAGTTGGTGCCCTACGCAAAATGCGTACTCTGCGTATAGGGAGCGGCGGTACTGTAATAATCACAGGATTAAGCTCAGTAACCATAAACTCTTTTATTTGAACTCCCCTAAATAAAGTTTGTGTGTATCAGTCTCAGATCCTCTTTTATGTTTCTTGACCTAAATTTGTTTTGTCAATGTAGTTTATCATATTGTTTTTACAGTGTTATGTGAGAATGAAAACAATAAAGAAAGAAAGAAAGAAAGAAACATAAGTTTATGAAGCGCAAACTGTTGTCTGGTTTGTGCCGTTTAATTGATTTGTAGCTACACCTGTTTGTTGCTGAAGTTAATAGCAGCGTCAGCGAAATAATGAGGAAATGCTTTTATCGTTTTATTCATCTATAGTGAATGAAAGGGTTGAAGAAAACTTATTGCTCATTCACTGTTATATAATTTCACTTTTTTTGTTAGAGGGCAATATAGCAAAACAAATGTAAATTATTTTTTTTTATTAATCACTGTATATAATTTACCTTTTTTTGTTAAAGAGCAACATAGCAAAACATATGTAAAACTTTTTTTTTTCATTCACTGTATATAATTTTTTATTTATTTATGTATTTTTTTTTGGTAAAGGGCAACATAGCAAAACAAAAGTAAAACTTTTTTTTTTCAGTGTATTTTTTCCCCCTTTTTTATGTCATAGTCATTAAACAAAGGCTTTTTGGAAATCCCACAAAGCCTAACATGTCAGGGTTATATTTCACCCCAAAAGGAGCCTGTTAAGAGCCATTAATTTTGTTTGTTTGCTTTTTTTGTTTGTTTGTTTATTTGCATTGTGACATTATTTTGATGACCAGTAAGCACATTCAGCTCAATTCTAATTACAGTAATGCATGTGGATGTTTTACATTCAGTTGTCAAAAGACTGTTGATACAGGTATGAGAATCATCCCGTCCATAAATTGTTTTATTTTTATAATAAGATTTACCCCATAACATTATGCTAAGGCTATACTTGATATATAGGCATAATGAGGGACAAATACGCCATACCCATACCAGCATACTGGAACAACAGCAAATATGTCACCACCACATTATGTAAATAAACGGCACAATACAGCCTGCGGGTTATTGTATTAAGGTCACTGTTCTGTAATATCAGTCTAATAACAGAGAAGCATGGTGATGTGTACATCGTTCTTGAAATACATGACAATCCTAAATGGATTTCCATTTAAGTAAAATATGCAAATGAAATCAGCTTTATTTTGTTGCTGTGGTAATGCAGTGCTGTGTTATCCTTGTTTTAAGAGAAATCACTCATGTGCATCAATATATAATACACATATCCATTGTGTTGTCTAACCCAGATGCCAGTTTCCAAAGCTCTGGTAACTGTGTGTGGATGTTGACAGACAATAGTGGATATCAACATACATCTTGGCTTGGTGTTCAAGTGCCCCATTCTGTTTCTCTCTGTAGCTGGTATCATTATGATTTGTCCCGGCATGCCGCTGAAGCTCTTCTCCTTTCGAATGGGGTAGATGGGAATTTTTTACTCAGAAACAGCAACAAAGGACCTGACTGCTATGCTTTGTCTGTCCGGTAAGAAATGTCCACCTCAAAAGTTTATAAGTACTTGGTCCACTCAGTTGAATCACTTTGATATTAAAGTGCAGTATTGCTCAGACACAAACACACTTGAATATTTTCCTTGTGTGCACTCCGTTCAATTTATGGAGGAATGTACCTGCAAAAGCTATCATTAAAAATGGTATGCAAGGGTACTTTGGACAATAGACAAATATTAATTTGACTTAGTTAATAAAAAACATCCTAACTATTTTTTAGTACTTAAAAACAAAACTTTTCATAGGATTGTAGCTTTGCAGGTAGCCAAGTCTCATTTTTTATTTATTTTATTTTTTCCTATTTTTAAAAATATTTTTAAAATGTAAATCATTCCTGTGATGGCAAAGCTGAATTTTCAGCAGTCATTACTCCAGTCTTCAGTGTCTGATGATTCTTCAGAAATCATTCTAATAAGCTGATTTGCTGCTCTAGAAACATTTCTTATTGTTATCAATGTTGAAAACAGTTGCACTGCTTAATATTTTTGTGGAAACCATCATGCATGCTTTTTTTTCAGGATTCTTTGGTGAATAGAACATTTTTTGTTATTCGTAGCAAAATAGTCACTCGTCATTTCTAAACGAGAAATGTTATCCTCTGACCTTTCATTAAGCAAGCAAGTTAAAAAGTCAAATGATTAACCAATAGTTTTGTTAGTCCTCTTATTTTTTCCATTTCTCTTATTTTCTGAGGTTCTTTAGATTACTTAAAGTTTTTTCAGTTCCCCTTTTCAATGTATCAGCTGTGAACCTCACTTTGTCTTGTGTCTTTAAAGTAAAGCTACTTATTCTTACTCCTACTGAAATATATAAATGTGACCATGCACCACAAAAGCAGTCATAAGTAGCACAGGTATATTTGTAGCAATAGCCAAAAATACATTGCATGGGTCAAAATTACCGATTTTTCTTTTATGCCAAAAATCATTAGGATATTAAGTAAAGATCATGTTCTATGAAGATATTTTGTAAATGTCCTACCGTAAATATATCAAACATGTATTATCATTAGTAATATGCATTGCTAAGCACTTCATTTGGTCAACTTTAAAGGTGATTTTCTTGCTCCCTCAGATTCCAGATTTTCAAATAGTTGTATCTCGGCCAAATATTGTCCTATCCTAACAAACCATACATCAATGGAAAGCTTTTTTATGCCTATTTCAATACAACTTGGTGTGATATCGCTTTTATACACCAGTTCTATAAACAAGTTAACACTGAACAATACTGAGATTTCAGACACAGCATGACAGCACTTCCTCACTCCCTTTTTCATCTCCAAACTTCTTCAGAGCAAAGGATTCAGTGAAACACTTTCATGTCCGGCGGCAGTTTGGCAAATATTCCTTTGGCTTCAATGAATTTCCTTCCCTTCAGGATTTTTGCAGTCACCTTGCCAATCAGCCCTTGCTAGGCAGCGAGACAGGTTAGCTATGTGCTTTTAACTTACAGTTCACAAACTGCTTTTCAGCATTTCTTTGGCACAGTGACCCTGTTTCCTGTTTCACTCTTGTAACCAAGGAAACCTGATAGTGCTGCGGTTCCCATACCCACGGCAGGTGGAAGAGCCATCCATTTATGAGACGGTGTGTGTGCATACGGTCATGCAGACAGGCCGGCATGAAAACGACCTAGTGCCTAATGCTCCAGCAGTAAGTCAAAATGACATTATACAGACCCACTTGCACACACACATACTGCATTTGAAAGAGTATGAATGTGGCTTGGAAAGAGCAAAAATAATCTTAAGGTGCCCCTATTATGGGTTATGAAAGGTTCATATTTTGGTTTTGGGAGTCCCCAACAATAGGTTGACATACATGCAAGGTCAAAAAACACTTTCATTGTCTTATAATATGTATTTATTTTTACCTTACTTGCTCAACGACTCCCAAACGATTCGCTCAACGATTCATTTTTCCAAACCCCTCCTTTGCGTGACGCTAATCTGCGGTGATTGGTCTGATTGGTCTCATTTCCATTGCATCCTGCCTGTAATGCCTGATAAAGCAGCGTTTGTGAGCAGCAGTGCTGCTTTGTGTACAGCATTACCGGGGAAACCGCTATTTTTACCGCTCCAAAAGCGGCACCTAGTGGCAAAGAATGAATTAACTTTTTCATTCAGACCAACGGGAAAAGACCAACAAGTGGGCGGGCAATATGCTAATGTTTCATGTTGACTTCAACATGAAACAGCTTAAGATTCGTTTTAAAAACGACTCGTTTCAATGATTCAGAGTCGACTCTTTCTTTTGAGAGACAATAACTTTATACACGGTGCACTTTCAGATTTAAAACTTGGCAGGATGTTTTCATTCACTTAGAGCTGTGTTACACACTGCATGAAAGGTAATTTTCAAAAATCCATAACAGGGGCACTTTAATAATAATAACATTAATTAATTTATCTGTGTATTTAGTATTATCTGGGCTCCTGAATCGAAAGTGCTTTTATGTTGTCAACAGCTTGGCACTAAAGAAGGCTATCTGGTTAAACAAGGAGCGATAATCAAGGTATGGTTACAAAAGTTACTATGTAAACATAGACTATTAAAAATTCAAACCAGTGTTTGCGGTAAATGCCAGTTTCACGCTAATAAGGTAAATTGTAACTGGGTTAAACTGGTTCTAGAGCAAACCTAGACCTAGTTTTATTGGCTGACGGATTACTCTTTATTTATTTTCTGGGCAGAACTGGAAGCAGAGATGGTTCACACTGAATAGAAATGAACTTAAATATTTCAAGGATAAAATGGTAGGTCTGTGTATTTTGTACAATAAGATTTAAATTAGATAAGAACTAAAGTTGATTGTTTATCTCACAGAAAACTGTCTCCTCAGTTTGTAGAGCCAATACGAACCCTGGATCTGACGGAGTGCTCTGCTGTCCAGTTTGATTACAGTCAGGAGAGGGTCAACTGCTTCTGGTAAGAGATTTATAATAAAGTGATAATTCGTGATAATACATTATGCACGTTTTCTGTCTCTCTCTACTTAAATTTAAACTAAACGAAAATGACATGTTTATTTCAGTTAATGTTTATCTTTTGTAATTTTATGTTTTATTGCAAGTAATGAAAAGTAGTGAATTTTTTTGATGGTTTTAGTTTTATTTAACAATAATAACCCTAGTTTGCTGCCAAAATCAACAAGGCCAGCTCAGTTCAATTCTGAATGCTGTATGTTTTTATGTAACGAGTGGCTACAGTTAAAAATATAACTATAAATATAAAGTAAAATATTGTTACTTTACCCATTAAGGGTTTAGAGAAACTGTAATAAATAGAGATAACTAAAATGGCAGACTGTTTCATTTAATTACAAAAGCAAAGTTTTTGATGAAAAATAAGACCCCTTTCTATTGTGCTAGACTACATATCGTATCTGTTTTTACATCTGAAACTTCTGCAGTTGGCCAAGCATAAAATTACTGTCTATTTTTGGCAACTGAAAATGAGCTGGTATCTGCAGCATTCAAGTGGCTGACAGCTTACAGTTCCTGTACTCACTAAATCAGCATTAGACAATGTGCATGACATGAATCAAAATTCACGCTGTCTGTCTACCGACCAAGCGGTGATAATAGAAAGTAATTACAATTTTATATCAAAATCCTAGTATTGTGTTATTCATAGATATTGTGTATCTGATATTTTCCTACATGCAAGTGATTCTCAGTAATGAGGAAGTATAGTCAGAAACTCTTATACATGGACTTCCTCCTGCCCACATATTTTCCAATGCATGCTTAATTTCAGCCTTTTACTTCCATTATACAACTTAAAAAAAAAAAAAAAACTTTTTATTTATGGTTTTTATATTTTTACAGAACATCCCCATCCCCAAAATTTGAACCCCTTACAAATGAGGGACAGACCAAAAAAAGAGAGAGAGAGAAAAAATAAATAAAATAAATTCTCTGTCATCATGCATTCTCTTTGCGGAGGAAACATTTGTACATTAAATCTCGAGAGGTTAAATTAATGTTATATTAATATTACATTAGTTGACCCATCTTAAATTACATATCTAAATATCTTGTAATACTCTTCCATCTTTGAAGAAAAATATCCATCTTCATCTAACCCATGCCGTAATTTTTTTCCATTATATAAACCTGTTTCAGTCTCTGAGTCCATTGAATCAAACTTGGAGAACCTTCTTCAATGTACTGTTATAATTTTTTTAGATATCACTAACAATATCTTTAGTACATATCTATTTTCCTCATTGTTGTCAGACCTATGTTCCTGTTTTGTTGTGTTTTCTCCCCATGTGCTCCCCATGACCCAGTTTCTCCCTCTCGTTTGATTAGTCATTTGGTTCAGGTGTGTCTCGTCAATTACCCTCGTTTAGTCTTGTGTATATATAGTGGTGTCTGTTCCTGGTTTCCTTTGTTCAGTGTTAATGTCATTTTGTACTTCCATGGTGTGTGCTACGTGTGTCTCCTGCCTGCCCTGTGTTCCTTGCTAGATTGTGAAGTTATTGCCTTCGTCTCCGTGCTCCGACACTGTAGACAGCGTGACAGAACACTGGACCAACAAAGATGAACTGGGCTGAAGACCAGCTGTGGTGCCTGCGGCAGGGTGGTAGGCCTTTGGAAAAGGTATGTGGAGGAATTCCTCGAGCTTTCCCATCAGGTGAGCTGGCATGATGCTCCACTCGGTGCTTGTTTTCAGTTGGGTCTGGATGAGGAAACGATTTGCTGTAGTCTTTCTGCATGTGAATTCTCTTTGGTCGAGTTGATTAATCTCATCCTGTATTTAAATGGTTCAGATTTTGAAGTAGAAGTTAAAGGGTTAGTTAACCAAAAAATGAAAATTAGCCCATAAATTACTCACCCTCAAGTCATCCTAGGCGTATATGACTTTCTTCTTTCAGACGAATCCAGTCGGAGTTATATTAAAAATTGTCTTTGATGTTTCAAGCTGTTTAATGGCACTCAGTGGGTGTTGCATGCTTCAGTCCAAAAGAAGTTAAATTAAAAAGCGCCCATCCATAAAAAAATAGTGTCTCACATGGCTCCGGGGGGGAACAAAGGCTTCCTGTAGCAAATCGATGCGTTTTTGTAAGAAAAATATCCATATTCAAAACGTAATAATCACTTTAATGTAGCTTGCGCCAACAGTTGTACACGGAAGCAGCTCCGGGCGGATGACGTATGGAGGTCGGCTTTGCGCATGCGCCGCTCAGAAGTGACGAACGCGGAAGCGCAGGGGAGA